ATTAATAATGTAATACTGGATGTTATCAACATTACGGCAAAATAAAAAATTGAGAAAAAAGCATAGTACAGAAAGCTAAAACATCTTATTGCGAAAACAATCGTGTAGAGGAATTGTGTTTTGCCACTGATGCCTGAAAAAATATATAATTTGTTCATTTCGACAGCTTTTTATTTAAATTTATATGATAGAGTAAAGTTAGAATTCAAAAATATATTAACTGTATGTTCGAAAAAAGTACTCATTTTATAAGCTAAAAAAAAACCTAAATATCACACTAGCTAAAAAAACGTATTATTTAACAAATTAACGTTAGTTTATAAACTGTAGTTTACAAAAACTCACCTGTACAATTTTGGCTGCTGATAATTTTTATAAGTAGCAAGGCATTTGCACCGAGTAAGGGCGAAAATCCTGAATAATACAGTACTATCAGATAATCTTCCATCTTGAAAATCGTAAACTTGTCTCTGTCAAATGTTGAAAAAATCATGAACTTTTTATTTTAGCCAAGTTAATGCAAAAAAATGAAGCAAAGCTAAAAATAAGAAAAGTTTAAGTAAGCTTACGTATATTGTACAATGCAGGTAACGAAACTACAACTAGCACAACAACAAACAACGAAACATACCGACACAAATGCTCCTTCCTCAGTTACATCAGCTTAATTAACAACTCGAAAGAGTCATAGCATAGTCAAGACAAACATTGACTGTCTCTAAATACGTTTTGATTGTTCTAAAAATCTACTACGGAGAAAGTTACACTCATCTTTTATTACATCAAGTTTGCTGAATCTGTAGCAATACTACTAGCAGCATAGAATCTTATTAAAATAGTATGGAGTCTTCCAGTTTTCGTTAGTGGCCTATGGTGAGTTGCTGCAACAATTAAAGCGTTCGAATTAATAATACTGTTTGATCGACATTCATTGCATTGAAATGCAGTTATAAGAATATTAATAACAATATTCTCTTTGTCTTTTCAAGTATAAGCTAACTGTCTGCTTTCTTTTTACTATCATACTTTAGAAGGCTCCACACATCTCCAGTGAAATTCATTATGTCCAAACGGAAATATATATACAAACGCACATGATAAAAACTGGCAACTCTGATCTGAAGCTAACCTTTAAAAATCAATAGTAAATAAGTATTATCAGACGGTATATTTGTTTCTGAAAACGTTTTTTCTAATGACCATTTAATGCTCAAGTCATTACAACTCTATTTGTAGGCCGAGTGACTTTATACTATCAAATTTCTACACCTTTAAGTTTGTAGAAGACTAAAAATTTGGAAGAGTCACACGTTGAATTTCACGCACTGCATAGCCAACTTTTATTGAAAGACTGAGCTCTCTGCTCAAGGACTTTATTGCCGTAATTGAAATACAACATGATTTGTTGATATTTGTTGATATGTGCAAAACACTTACTATATCGCGAATTAATTTAACAACAAAGTAATTATATAATATACACACGAGACAATGTAATAGGGTCGACACAATATTAGCAAAAAAATTATTTAGGTGGTTACACAGATAAGTCAGAAAAACATCATAACCATAATATATGGTTGTTTTCCAATAAGCAGCCATTAAAGTTGTCCTGTTCATTGAACAAAAAAGTTAACTCGAACATAAATATCTTGATCGTTGTCGTATTAATCATACTGATGTCTACATAAACATATCAATTACTAGGACATTTTTAGAGCAGCCAAACTTTTGCAAACCCTAACAACAAACCACTTATATTACATAGTTCATCTATATGTATCAGTGTGTTATATGACGTAACTAGAAGTTACCGCGCGTGAAATATTGTACGGACAACAATTCCAGGTAGAATCGTTCTTCAATAGTCACACCTCAGTATCGCTTGCCTATACTATTATTATTTACAGTTGATTGTAACTGCGTGTGAATCAGCTTATTGCTCCGATGTGCGAGCTGAATCACGAAACTTTCTGAAAAACAAAACTCGATAGCACTCGTCGCCGTATAACTTGAAATGAATGATGTGCACGCGCGATAAGTCGAAAAGGTCATTAAAACTACGTGGATGGGCCGATAAGAGCGCAAAGTAAAAGAAAAAGGAAAAAAAAATACGTGGTACGAAATCGAGTCTCCGATGGCCCTCGAAATTTCCCGGGGCACACGTTAACTGGAAAAACTTTGGAGCCAGCGCTCGTTTTAAATCAATGCTCCGGGAGTCTCGTGCGCATACACGCGTATACTTTGTGCTTTTTTTTTTTTTTTGTTTCCGTATCCTCGGGAGAGCTTTTTTATCATGCTCGCAACCGTTCAAGTTTTAACGGAATAACTTGCTAGCTGCAATCTGTACACTCGCCGTTGGTGTTTGTCTTCGTTTTTTCGCAAGCTCGAGGATTTGCATTTGCTCGCGCACGTGAGCTGGTCGGTGAAAAGTTAGCCGAGCAGGTGGACTCTTTGTCGGTATAGGATGGTTTTTTTCGTTCGGGTATCGTTTGTCACTTTGATCGTTTTGTTTCGATTTGAAAAGTTCGGTGGTGTCCTGGCAACTTTTCCGTACGATGGTCCTCGTGCACAAAAATTACGATTTTTCTAGAACGTATATACACGCACCGACTGATTTATGGCAGAGATTAGGTGATAATGCATATGTGTGTCTAGAGTAAATCAAAGGGCCGGATGTTTTAGCTGCCGAGTAGAGAGTTATATCAATTTCATGGGAGGAGCTGTATCAAAGAGTAGGCGAGATTTCCCCGGGGCTTTCATCCACGATCACACGAGACGGCCGTTTATTTTTCCTTCTTACCCCTTTTTTCACTGTGTTTTGTACATATACATGGTAGGGATATGGAGTTTGAATATCCTTTCAATTTGATTGATGTTTTTTTAGAGATATCGGGATTTGGTTTGGAAACGTTAACTTCTGGGTCCTTTTCTCCTTTTTTCTCATTTCGACTCTGAAGAGTTGCACGTTAAACATGTACAGTAGAGTAAGAAAATTAATAAATACTTACTAATAGCTTTGGAAACTGTTAAATTAAATTTGCTTTAAATTTTTACTTTTGTTTCACATGTAACGAAATTGTAATAATTCAACTAAAACGATGAATTCGATGATGGTTGTAAATTGCATCAGTTGCGTTTGGTTATCGAAACTAACGTGTTGCCGAACTTGATTAAATAACCGCTAGTAGCTGAACAAATGGAGCGTGTTAATGAGAAACGCCTGCGTTTTGTATGATTTTGCGAGAGAACGTTTTCGTTGAAAATTTCCAAACGTATATACTCAATCACCCTAAATATCCCTCCTGGTTCTCTACCGTGTATTCGGGGAATTATTAATTTAATAGGAAACTGCTACGCGTGGATTCTCAGCGTGGGGTGTACCTTAATACCGTATTTATAACCGCAAAGAAAAAATTGGGAGCAAAACAGAACATAATGAGGAAATAAGTGGGATAATAAGATGATAATAATACGGGGGTGGTAGTGAGAAATTTACGGGGAAAAAAGCCCGACGGCACTAGCAGCGCTGGCGGGTAATAATTAATAAAGGATTTCCTATAGAACGGCTGTGTAAGGTAAGTCTCACGGGCTGACGAGGTATAGTCGCGTGCAAATTGAATGGAGCTTTTAAAGCAGAGCTTGCGGGACGCGCTGCCTCACCGTATTCGACAACCATTTTACCGAGATGATGCTTTTTTTTCGGGACTTTCATTGTGTTGCTCTTGAGTAGATTTTTTTTCCAAATTAGAACAAGTTTTTTTTTTTTTTGGGTACCTAGTTTTACAATGTTCCATTTCTTTAACGATAAAGTATACTTAACTGAGTATTTGTGAGAAGCTAAATTATGACGATAGAGAAGGAGCAAAAAATTTTACGTGCATTTATTCGTGCAGTAAATAAAATCAGACACGAGATTTACAGTAACAAGGGAGTAACGCGGAAAATTCGCAGTGAAAAGTCCTCGTGTACTTTTCGCATCGAGCTCGGGGTATTCCATTATTCTGAAAGTTGGGCGGTCCGCGACGTTCCATAATTTCTGGACGAAGAACTGCACAAGATAATGGAGATAAAGGCAAACGAGGAAGAACAAAGATAAAAGAAAGAAAAAATGAGACAGCAGCAGCAGTGTATAACAGTAGTCGACCCTACTTGAGTGTACCTACAGTTTCCGTCTTGGAGAAATTCGTCGCCTTGGAGTTGTCGTCGCAGTCGTCCGGTATCTTTCAGATTCTCCTTTTCAATTTTGCATTCGTAATTAGGGGAAAAGGGAGCCAGGATCTTTGACTTTTGTCTCCTCGCGGGAGCTTTAAAGCTAATTCGCTCGTTTGACGCTGGGGCTCAAGTGTTACCTCTTTATCTCGTCCCTGCTCTTCATTTTCTCGGTTCTATCTTTCATTTGCTCCATTTCTCGTCGGAGACTTTAATTTACCCCCCCCCCCGTCTTTTCTGAAAAAGCAAGCCATGACAGTTTATTATGCCAAGATCAAATGAAATTTATTTCTTGCGCTTACGAGCCACTTTATGCGAAAAACTGCCTTAGATCTCTCTACATCGTGGAAGTAGCCGGTTTAATTTATGTCTCTCAAATCTACCCATGCACTCGTCTCATTTCTCGGTAAAAAATTAATCTCGAGCTGACTAAATCGACCAACTCGTTTTTCCAGTCTCGCGTTGACTTAAAAGGCTTTTTAAAAACAAACCAAAGTATAATAACTGGGTCATGCACATCCCAACCCAAATATTGTCCCCACACATATACACACCGATGGTTCGCCCCTCCCTTCATCGATACACACCTTCATCTGCAGGTACATCTCAAAGCCGGAGTAATCGAGCGGAGTGCACGGAGAGTTTATAGGTCACGCGGGAGCGCGGTGGCACCAGCCTCTCGAATGCAAATTGAATCGTGTTAAACATAGCTGGGGCAGGGGTGAGGGGGGGTCGGGAGAGACGAGCAACACTAACGGAGGGGCTGTGCGCTCTTGGACTGATTGCAGGCGACGCAGGGATATAATGTTGCGCCTGCTGGGAGTTCGGCTGCTGTCGCGGCTCCTCGTCCTCGTCTGCTCCCTGTCGCTGCTCTCGCTGCTCTTCCTCAGCCGCTGCGGATTCAACAACCTCGATGCCGACCTCGTCGATTCTTCCGGTAAGTCCTATTGGCTTGAATCTATTTTTTTTAAATATTTTATCGATATAGCACGATTGCGAGCCCGTAAGTAGTACGAGTCAGTGTATGGTCAGACAGAGCCGGAGAAATCTATTTTTGATGGAGCATTTTTCACTTCAAATGAGGTGATGTTCACATTCTCCTTACTACTTACTAAAAAATAACGGACCCCCTTAGTCTTTACGTATGGTAAATAATAATATACCCGCTGTTGGATAAATATCTTTTTTAAATTGCTTGATTGAAGCAGTTAACGAAGAACGAACGACACACGGTTTCAACAGCAGCAAAGTAGGTACTCTGGCTTTGAATTGTATAAAAATCATTCGAGTCCTAATTCGTTTGAACAACATAAGCCGTTGCTACTCGCTCCGTTAGCTTTTAATTAAACGAGGGAGAAAAACAAGCTTTTAATTGCACCCTGGCCTTTTAAATAAATCGCACTAGTAACGAGAAAAGAGATGCCAAGTGGAAATTAAAAAAAAAAAAGGGGGGGAAGACCCTCCGATCGCACCCCTCCCACGCAGTGTCCGTTCATCCGGCTCTCTCCGCGCGCAGCTGGCACCGAGATAAATCACCCCGTGGATTAGGAGCATATTATTTAAACTTCCCCGGCGCTTTAATTAATACCCCACCAGTCCGAGTTCGGGGAAACCCCTCCGAAAAACGCACTGCGGCACGCACTCACTTTCACGGCTCCGCTCCCTTATTTTCCACGAGGGTTTCGTTATTGCCCCACGCTAACCGTGTACCCTACACTGTTCTTTTTATTTCCGTCCCGTGATGGAGATGAACGTTATTTTCTCTCGCGCGACTGCTGGAATTCTTTTTCCTCTCTGTTTCCGGCACGAAATGAGATTCTCGCGCTAAATGTGGGTTTCGCTCGATTTTCATTTCAAGTCTCGTGGGTGACCTACCAAACCATCCCCTACTGTCTCACAGCCGACTCCGTCTCGCGAATCTTTCGACGATCAAACAATATATACTATATAAATCATCCGTCTCGATCACCTTCGCAGCCATTGCACCCTGGGCCTTTCAATATTTTTCATCCACCATATTAACTCGCAACGTGCGCTGCTCAATCCACCCGACAGCATAATTTCAAGCACCACGGAATCAGCACGCCCTTGACGAAATTCCTCCTCCCCTATATACAAGACGCGCTCGGGACTGACGTGCACGGTAATACACGCCAACGGTAAGCGCTTCGCGTTTAAACGCTAATGCGAACGACGTGTGCACAACCTTTACCTGAGCGCGCGCGTTGATAATAAATAGTGAATTCGCGTGCCCACGGCCGTCTTTGTTTCTCTTCATTAAGTGTCTCGATGCTTGGGGTTGCGCGATGCGCGTAACACACGCCACCAGAGAGTGAGATATCTCCCCGTTGGCGTAAAAACGCTACACATGTTACGAAAAATAGTCACTCGAATCAAGGTACAAACAAACAAATTACCAAGCGGTAGCTTTGAAAATCATTTGTCGATGGCACCCACTCCGGGGGTCAGCCGAGTTAAAAGCGGTGACAGTAAAACATAATTATCGAATGATAATAACCCTCGAGGGTGGTTGTGCAGCCCGAGCGAAGATATATATATATATATATATATACATCACCGGTTGTGGTAAATCAAATTGCGGGGGTGTGCGCGCGACGTTTGGGTATTCGGCGGGCCATATTCCTCGATTAACGTCGCGAAATTACACCCCTTCCCATCCGTAATAGCGTCGGGATCCCGAATAAAGCTTGATTTACGCTCGCGTATCGAAAACAACGCACCCCTCCCGGTACACCCCGACCCGAACGTGCTCGATGTTTACGTTACAACTTTTGCATCGGCTCGGGAACGCAGGTATATATATACATTCGTACATGTATACGTGTACACGGAAACGACGGGGCCTATAGGGTCCAAAAGCCCTCGAATTCAATAGACACATCCGGAACGCGGCCAAAGCTCGTCCTAATCGCCCCGTTAACGTCCCGGGCTGTGTGTGTGTGTGCGGCACGTCCCATCGTCGCGGAAATCGGGCCGTGACGGTGGGTGATTGTGCGCACACCGCGTGTACGTCAGCCTCGTTCGATGAGACAACAAAAGCATGCTCGTCCGTAATTAATTAATAATCGCGCAGGGGCTGATGCGGTTGTCTCGTTAAATTCCGCTGACTTATAATCTCCATTGTGCAGGAGAGCCCAACGTATTACTAAAACAGCATTATAGTGCAGGGGAGTTTGTAATCTCTCCGACAGATCCCGCGTAAACGCTCGCGGTGTATACTCGATTGTCGGGCGTTCATGGACTGCCCGACCCTCCGTAGGTTTGCGTTGCGATGCTGACAATGAGCGCACGGCCCGAGCTTTCTCGTGGAGGGATTCGGGAATTGTTTGGATTAAATCCAATCACGTTGGTAGAGCTGCCGCTTTGTGGCGTTCGACCATCGGATTCCACGGGATATGCCGTGCTGTTTTCACTTTTGTTGCGCGTAACTCACTTTGACAATAAGGGAGTGGCTCACTTTCAGCGCGGACATCTGAAATATAATATCCCTCGCTCATTCGTCGCCTATTGGTCGAGGGCACTTTTTTTTACTTATCTGATGTATGTGCCCACTCGCGTCATCGACAATGCAGTCAAAGTCTATTGCATTAGGACAAACGAAACTGGTACAGTCTGAAGCTTTGGTAAATTCACCGGTTGATCCTTTTGTGACACTAAACGGCAAAAATTCACTTGCCAACTTTTACTACCCGTCGATGATTGGATGTCGGTAGCTTTAACGAGAGGCTTTCTGTAGTTAGGTACTACGCGCACCCCGGGACCAACACGCGCTCAATAGTAAAAGAACAAACGCCGAATCCAACGGGTAGACGGACAGTCACGGGGGAAGGGTACACGAGCAAACGAACGAGCTTTACAAACAAAGACAGCGAAGAAAAGCAAGTGTGTAGCACCGTCGATATTTCCACTTTGCTGGGAGTAGCGCGTACACACATATATGAGACGAAGTGCACTCGAGAGAGCAACACATGAATATTAGCTATACGCGCGTGTGTGTGTATTATTCGTTATGAGTGTGTGCCTCTGTAGTACATACATACCGAGGGAGCCAAGCAGTCCTGCCAGACACGAGCTCAGCTGTTTTTCGAGTGCCACCGCAGTGCCCCGCCGCCCGCTCTTGACAATCCTCCCCGTGTACGTACATATATATAGGCTGCAGGTATGATACGAGGCCGGTAAATATAGAAATTAACTGACTGGCTGGGCGAGACAAGAGGGTAGGTACACGTACGAATCCAAACTCAATTGGTTGGGGGGCAAACAGAGCGTGTGCGCCCGTGATCCCACTCCGATTGACGCAGTCGGAAATTATCGAGGGCTTTTTTTCCCACCCCCCCTTTTAAATTAGCCGGGAATGGGTTATTGAAAGTAGAGTTCGAAGGAGGTTTTAATCATCCTCGACTCGATGAAGCCATGCGTGCGATGAGGGTTAATTAACGCACTGCTGCTCGAGGAATTCGAAGTGAAGAGGAGAAAAAGAATTAATTCCAGAAAAACTAAACGAGCAGGATGAACGGATAGCCTCGTTTCCCCGGACGAAGCTCTGTAGGGTAAGGGGGTTACGTTTGAAAGAAAAAAAAGCGCGTGTACGTTTATCTCGAATGCACTCGGCGTTGGCGTACGCAAACGAGCTGAAAAACGCGAAAGTTCATTAATATCCTCCCTTGGTCTGTACACACGCAGTGTTTGTGCTATTCCACTGCTTTTTTTTTTTTTTTATCAAACACCGATTCATTTGCCTTCCGCCAACTCCTCGAATCGCGCCGAGGCGTGAATCATCCAGACAAGCGGTATCTTCTTCCACGTGCGTCGGCCCGTATCTCTTCCATTTCACTGTATACTTCGCGCCAGCAACGACGACGACTCTTAGGGTCGGGGGGGGGTGGGACGAGGCAAGGACTTTTGGCGCGCGAAAACTTTTCCGTACTACTTGCGCGAGTCCCTCGGCTGCATTTTTCGGCGAGAAATGATGTAAAGAGCGAGCCAAGGGGAAAGATCGAGCCTCCGCGGGCAAAGAAGTGACTTTGATAAACGGCGGGCTGCCGTGTGTATGTACATCGGTGTTTTATCGTTCGATACAGGTTGCGCACGATCACGGGGATAAAAGGGGAATATTACGGTGTGGGCACTAAGGGTGTACCGGTCAGAGTCAGCCGGGCGGCTCTTCCTTCCCTCCCTCGACGCTAAGAGCCTTTCGGGCGATTATAGTGCACTCAACCCTCTATGAAATTGATTGCCTATACGTGCCGTTAATGCCCCTTGACGCTCTCTACGTCGCGTCTTGGATTTTTGGGCTCGGATCGTCGCATCGCTCAAATAACCCTTGTATCGGTCGAGTATCAGTCGAATTGTCTCGAGAATATAAATACAGTTGCACGCGGTCCGTTGGTGGTTCTTGTAAATTCACTCCAGCGCGATTACACTGCGCACTTTGACGGAACACGCGCGCTAGACGCCCCCAAGTGCCTCTCAACTTGGTATACTTGGAGACTCACCGAGATACCACCCCTTATACAGGGTGTATCGCAGGTGGGTTGTACGTAAGTGCACGTGGGCAAAGTCGAGAGATGGGATGCAGTGGGCAGGAGGGGGAGAGATACGCGTCTTCCGCCCTGTAGCGTCGAAAGTCCGGTTCCGGGAGTATAACTTGAACGCGGAGTTTCCGCTGGGGTGTTCTTGAATAGTTGGGCAGACACGCGGGAGTTTCGGGGGCGATCGACCGTACAGGAAGCGACAAACTCGCGAGAGAGAGAGAGAGAGAGTGCAGAGTTGCGAAGGAAGCCCAGTCTGCGCAGTCATCGATCAGCGCTCGCCTTGATGAAGTCGCGCGGTGATGGAATGTTATGGAGAGGTGAGAGCCCGAGCGGGTGTGATCTTGATGATACGATTCGTCGACGCGGGTGATGATGTCGTATACCGGGGACCGTTGATTTGCCAAAAACATCATTTTCACCGTACATGCAATAGGATTTCGAGCGGAGCAAGTATGTTTAATAGAGCTCACGGCTAAAAGTCGTAGGTTAAACTGACGGAAGCTCCCTCGCTTGCCCTCTTACGTTGATATTTTTTTTTTTTTTTTTTTCATGAGTCACGAAACGGAGTCTTGTAAAAAGACACTGGCTAAAAGTAAACACCGCGCACACCCTAGGCTCGAAAAAGTCGGCTCGCCAAGGGGGCGCACTCGAGACTTTGGCTCGACGATGATTCATTTCCCGAAAGCATCGAGCCATCCAAAGGCAAACGGGCCCTGGCTTCGCAAACAGTGGCCCTCTCGAGCTACCGAGGATCAGCAGAGTGGCTGCACCACGCGCGTGTGCGTGTATCGGTGCTGCACACTGGCCCTTTGCTCCACGCGAACTGGCAGCACATCCATTAGCCCGCCACCCCCTCCGGTTGGAACACACCCCCTCGCACATCGGAGGAATCGAGAGCTGAGCAAATTTCGGGCGTATTCTATCATCACTGCAGCCGCGAGCTTTCGCTTACACGAGCTTACACGTCAGGTATCGAGTGTGTGCGTGTGCGCCCCCGTAGATCTCCGACGGTCGTACGTCGATGGGCCAGCCGAGCCAACGTCGACGATGGGATGAAATACACCCGAATATGGTGAGCTTATGATGGCCCCGTGCATCGCACACCTGGGAGCGGGCGAGGTGCTCGCTGATTGCTTTTAAAGGGATGGCTCCCAGCCCGTGTACATCAGCCAAGCGGCTAAATTATTGGACAGCCCGTGTTTGACCATACGTCGGGCTATCCACTTGTTTGCGCATAGATCGCTCCACCTTACTCCTATCTGCGCGAACTACACCCGTGTCAAACAAAATATCGCAAATAACATGCGTCCATTCCTCCGGAAAAGGCAAAAAAACAATTGAGAAAAAGCACCGAAATTCTTTCGAGCCCACCGGGGTGGAAGCGTCTCGGCTCAGCTAGCTGTGGTGATCAAGCGCGAGTTTTCTTCTCCTCCAGCCCTTTTGCATAATTCCGCCCTTATTCTCGACGTGCGCGCGTACGAGAGACGTGTCTCCGCCGTAAGACGCGCCACTGAGCTTAAACGGCGAATCGTCGCTTTTTATTTTTCCTTCGTTCCCCTCTGCTGGATACACGACTGTACATCGACCGAGGCGCGGAGGGATGAAAAAAAAAGAGAGCTCTGGTTCCTTCTCTTCTCTCGCGTCACGTTTCGCAACGAGCACTTTTTCCTCGACGCGGAATGAAACCTTTGTGACTCTCCACCGAAGACCAAAAAAAAAGAAGCCCCTCGACACGCCCCGACACCTATTCTCTCTCGCTTTGATCGCGTCGCTAAATTGTTTTTTCTCACCCCCGCTCCTACTTCGCCTTTCGTTCCACCGAGGGTACACTTACTCCCGTTATATCGAGGATATGCGTTTTGTTAGATCATTTGCTCGTTTCTCTCACCCGCATCGAGACTCGAGTTGCACCGAAACGCCTCTCTCGAGCGGCTGAACAAACCACGTGTACGACACGCGCCCCGGAACTTCTTACATGTCGTGTGTACGCAAGACTCGCGGAAAGCTTCTTCCAGCCTCGCGCGTAAATCATCCGGAGCGAGGAGCATAAGCCGGAGGTGTACGCCAACGTGGGGTGTATGTATACAATTGCGCTGGCAGGCAGCGCGTCGCTTATATTCCATTTCGAGCGCCCCGCAGACAACTTCCAGCGCTTCTCGGCCCGTAAATACCAACCCCACCCCCTCCCGTCCTACTTCTTGATGCGAGTTTCTACCGTTGCTCGCGTGCGCCACAATGCAGGTAATATAACGCAAAAGAGAGAGAGAGAGATACATATACACTTGCAGCCCCACCGCAGGAATACCTACTCGACAGAGAGAGAGAGAGAGAGAGAGAGAGAGAGCAGTAGTTGTAGCCGGTGTGGTGCAGAAGGAGAGCTTCTTACGCAACTTGCCAGAGACAAGCCACCCTGTGTCGTGTGCTCGCCTACTGCATGTACAGTGGCTGTCTCCTGCTTCCCGGGACGACTCGCGCCTGTGGCTTTTTCTCCCCCTCTCGTACGCGTGATTGCACTTTCGACTGTTGCACCCCCGAGTTTGGCTAATTTTAAGTTTGATCGAATCAGGCGCACGAGCTTGCCCCGGGAGCGCTGTCGCGCGATTCGACCCTTATTAAATTCCACGAGTGCGGGCGAAATTAACATTCGTCGTGGCCGTGTGTTTGCGATGGTCTGGAAGTAAAAGAAATTAAAAAAAAAAAAAAGGAAGCAGCAATTTGTTTTCGCGTGGGGGAGCCGCAAAACCAGATTCCCCTGGAGCTTTCTCCGGTAGTCGGGGAGGGGGAGCCGGAGGGACATTTATTTCACTTACACCCAGCGCACCCCTTCGGAATAACTCGCGCGCCGGCGCAATTTATTGTGCTTAACGGCTCGATTCTTTACAAGCTCGTAAAGCCCTCCCCTTCCCCTCCGCCCCAGCGGCTGGTACGATTAAGTGCTGAATTTTTATACGGGCGCTGCTGCGTGCTGCGATCATTGGAGTTGTAGAACGAGGGGTAATGAAAATCGCTCGATCGCTCGCGTATTTCAGGGGAATTTTATTTTTCACTTCGGAGGGGGAAAAAAAAAGAAGGAAAAAATATTGGAAACTAGAACGAATGGAAGTACATACGCACGCCTCGAGAGCATATATAGGTGATGCGTCGAAAATGTAGGCACATCCCTCCCAGCAAATGTCGCAAAGTGAATTCACTTTTGGAGACGCACGATGTGTGTGTGTAACGTAACATTTGAGTTCCCCAGCGAATTCGCGTACATCGAGTGCCTCGAGTTTAGAGCATTGTGTGTATGTTTTTTTTTTTTTCAGCCGAAGCGGCAAAACTTGTAAAAATACGGCTTTTGAGAGGGTATAAAGAGCGTGTTTTTTTTGAAAAAATTTTTTTTTCCACATGTAAGCGGGAAAAATCGAGGAGGAGCTGGCAGCGGAGTGTAACTTAGTCATTCGATAAAGAAGAGTAACGACGCTCGTGAAGTTGAGGAATAGGGAGTAACTTGATGAAGATCCAGGGAACTAATGCTCGTGGGTGGGGAAAAAAAAAAACTGTCCCATTCGTTCATGTTAAAAGTAGGAACGAGAGTGCGTGGGCAGTGTTATTTTTAGATGAAACGAAATCCTCGTGAGGTGAAAGAAAGCATGTAAATTGTATGTATTGTTGGTTGGTGTGTTTGCAGGTCCAGCAACATTGGCGAGTAACAGCTTGCTGGAGGCGAACCAGCGCGAGGAGGAGACGAGGCTGGAGGTCGAGAGGCTCACGGCGGAGATACGCACGCTCAAGCTACAGATCCTGCAGTTGACGGGTCAGTAATGCCCCATCGGAGAAAAAACCAATTGGCTCTTTCGCCGAGAAAATGGGAAAAATCGGTCCCTCGGAGAATCGCGTGCTAACTTTTGTCCCGTAGCTTGTGACGAAAAAGTATTCCCTCTGCCAACTCCTTTGGAGTGGACCCGAAAAGCTAATTTTAAAACCCACTCGGGTCTGGTACGAAAAAAAAGGGGGCAAAAACTGACCTCTCTCTCTCTTTGTTCCGGTAACTTGGCCGGGCTTTTTACTCGACGCGCGGGCACTTGTAATGGCGAAACCACGTACCGCTGCCGGTATTTCAGAGGCTTCCCTTTTTTCTTCTCCTTCTCCGTCTGCTCCTGTTTTGCCCTCGCGTTTTTAGCCTGCAGACAGCCGAAGAGTGGCGTGCTAGCAAGAAAAAAAAAAAAAAAAAAAGAAAATACGTTGGGATGGAAGATGGGAACTCCGGGGTGAGCGCAATTACGGAGTCCCTCGCGCGCCCGCGCCTCATCAGGGCTATCGGTCTTCCTTAGCTTTCTACCCTTCACCCCCTCCGCCTTTATCTAGCTGCACGAGCGAAAGAAAGACTCTCGGAGCTAAACTCGCCGGGTCTTCCTTTTTTGGGGATTTTAGCTCGTTTTTTGCTCTCTTTTGCCCGTGAAGAAGTTGTGCCCCCCCCCCTTCTCGGCCCGATACTCGCTCTAAATGGATTATACCATTTCCGGGAGGGAGTATACATACATACATCACTCGCGAGCCGTACTCGGTTGTTTTTTTCTTATTTGTCTCGTTTGCGATGCACCATTATAAGTATCGCCCATTGGAAATTTCACCAGGTTTTTTTTTTTTTTTTTACTTCTATGGTCATTTGTGCGGATTTCTGATAAAGCGATTGCGGCTTCTCTTTTTATTTTTTCTTGCAACCAAAGTGGTTGAGTGTACTTCTTTTCACAACGAGCCATCAGAAATTAAAAAATTAAAAGCTATTAAAAATCTAAAATAAAGTTGTACCGTTACATAACGACTGGCAATACGATACTTTAACATCTTGTATAATTAATAATTTGTAATTTTACGTGGTTTCTGATTCACGAAACCAGCAGTATTTCGTATGGTGTTGAGAAAACTCGAATATTTCACTATAACATTATACCTTCCAAATGAATTTCTCAAATTCATGTATAATTTTCGCGCACGAAATTAAAAATTAATAAACTAGGCGTTGCACACCCGTACAAATGTTTGCGCAAATTCACCTCGTATCGATCAGCCACGAAGCTTCGTGGTAACCATCGACTTTTAATTAAAAGTTTCCGATGAAAGCCCGATCCAGTTATTTAATGTTTTCAACCACACACTTTCCCCATCCTTACTAACTGGCCTCCGAAAGGGTGGACTTTTACGTGACTCGAAAAGTCGACGACCGCAAGAGTACCATTGACATCCCCTTCCGCGCACGCCAATCTGCCGTAAGGAGCTCACGCAGCCGGGCCGATGCGCTCGCAGGCTATTCCCGTGCGGTGCGCGACGGATTTGGAGCTCAGGGGAGGAATCGGGTTTAGGCCGAGAAGCCGGAAAACAAGATTTCGCGAGACGTATATGCGTACAGCTGGAAAGCGAGTCGAAAGTCGTAAACCATAATATAGACGAAAAGAGTCCCCGTATCATCACGAGTGACGGCTGCGTCAGACAGAGGTACCATGTACCTCACCACACGGAGTAGACACTGAGAAACAAAATTAAAAAAACCAAGCGCTAACGATCCGGTAACCGGACTCCAAGGGGCATCTCCAACAACACAACAGCAATGCATCCGCTGGCACGTTACTTCGAGCACCGGCGTCTAACGAGTGCCAATTATAATATAGTTCGGGTCGCCGCGGAGCGAAAGGGGCGCGGAGGGGGATGAACAAAAAGTTTGCTTCTCTCTCGTGGCGCTTGATTTTTTGTTCCCTTAATAGACTTTGAAAACCGGTCACTGGAGGGATTAGGGCCATTTCTTGTTTTCACGAGCGAGGCACCGGAACCATTTTTTTTTGTTTTTTCATCCACGGGCTCACTCGCAAAGTGGATGCCGTTCTTTCGCATTAGCGCTCGCGGATCGACAAACGCAATAATAGTCCCCGTTGAGCGAATAAACTACGTGGTGGTCCAAATTCTATCGACAGCTCCGTCATATTTTGCCCGCTCGGTGTAGGCCATAGTTGAATAATGACGTATTGCCCGGCCACGCAGACCAGGGGGTCAAACAAGACCAAAACTCCAGCCATGCTCTCGGAAAAAGGAGGAAAACAAACAGCCGCCCTTCCGCTGCACGTGCGAGCCATCGATCGAGAGGGTAGAGGGCAGGTATGTGTGTATATATACACGTGCACGAGGAGTCATCGGCGGGACGTGTGTTCAGCTCCCAAGCACAACAGTGCCCCGAAGGAGCCAACGGTGGATGGTACACTCTACCACCACCACTGTATCCCGGGAGCGCGTGCTCGGCTTATTATTATTACACCCCCTCGGGCCGCTATGAATATTCATAACACCGGCGAGGCTGCCGGACGATTGAGCAGCTCGACGTTTCGCGGGCCTTGTTGCTGTAGGGTCATTTGCGTGTGGGTGTATGTTCCGGCCAGTCTCCAGGATATCCCGGCTAGATTGGCGCTTTTATTATTTTATCCACCCTCGGGCCACGGTGCGCGTGCCCGTGATGGTGTTCGAAGCGAAGCTTCTTTTACGAGCAGTTTGTGATTATTATAATTAAGAGCTTCGAAAATGTTCAACTTTCCCTCCCTGCAGGCAAATGATGATGAATCTTGTCGTCGGCTCACTCCGACTTTCATGGAATATATTCATGGTTAATTGTACCTTTTATCGCGAGAATCGCAATGAAATCGCACGACGATTATACTAGCTACTTTGTTACTTTTTTTTTTTTTTTTTTTTTTTTCTCGTGCGCAAACGGCAATTGAGAGGAGGGAAACAAATGAGGTGCGGCACGCAAAGCTCCGCCCGTTAATCTTCTCTCTTATATATAGATCCAAGAAAAGGCTCTACTATCTCGTCGCGCGTTGGAGTCCCAAAGTTGCATACTTTATAACTGGATGAGACGGAGACTCTTTCTGTACATCGCAGGACTTGGTTTTACTTACAGTTCATCGTCGCGAAGAGCGCACCACTTGACGAAGCGGTCGCTCGGTAATGCGCAGAAAAAAATTTTCTTACAAAAATAAATAAGGTTGACGACTTAACGAGCACCGGCAAACTAAAAGCTACTTATGCTGCGTCGTTGAAAGAAATATTTTCGTGGAAACATTTTTCAAGTGCCCCACCTCGAGAGCTTTCGGAAAGTGCATTAACGAACTCGATTACCTCGTCATGAAATATTTAAAAAAAAAAAAGGATCGCAAAAAGCGCCACGAGACTCGAGCTAAATAATCGTAAGGGTTTATTTCACGAATCTTGAAAAAATACTCACTCGCTGCATGAAATTCGGGCGGGGAGGATTAGTATCCCTCTTGTTTTATGGAGGCTAAGCTTCCCTTTCGCACTCTGTATGTAACAATTTTGTCATGCTGATTTCTACTTCTGCATAAAGCTATCCATATCTCCATGTATACATTCTCGTACGTATAGTCGATCGATGAAATGAAAAATAAACTTTTTCGTGCCGGAGGATAAAGTCACTGTAGTATATATATATATATATATAGTCATGCAGGAGTCGCTATGGATGGAGAAAGCTGTGCCGGTTGAAATTTATTTAGGAACGTTGCTTGTCATGGTACCACCACCCTCTCCCCCACCTTTTCGGGCTGCCCGTAACAGGAAGTTCTTATCGCTCGTGAAAATTCCAGGGCAGCGCTGTACCTCCCAAGGGGCTTTCGATGCTTTCTCGCGTGCGTGTGCTCGTATACTCACCTCGTGGACGCGTGTGCTGTCCCGTTGTATAGGTGCGAGACTAAGTTATCTCGACAGGACAGATGGTAAAAGGACGGGCCGTGATGAGGCTCGATGGGTAACTCCATACTTACGCCGGAGCTTTTACAGAGAGCATCCGAGGGCAAAGGAAGGGACGAGGGGAGCCTTTTTTTTTATTGGGTATAGCTATCGCGACTTTGTTTTTTCTTAACAAGCGTTAGCGTGCAGTTGCTCTCGCTCCCTCACGGGTCAATTCGACGTACAAGACTACCATCGTAAGTAAATGGAAAGGCCGCCATAAGGAAGTTGGGGCTCTGTTTATCCGTATGTTGTAACCCCTTACCCTCCGGGGGTGGAGAAAACAGTTAGCTGGTCTGTAAAAACGAGTATATCTGATGAAATTATCTTGTTCTCATTAATAAAACGAGGGCAAAATGGTTTCAGGCGGTCCACCACCGGGGCACGGGCTCCAGGACTCGTCGCCTGTGATAAACAGCAGCGACATCGGTGATTGCCTGGCCGCCCGGCGCCAGGTCGACCAAGCCGAGATAAGCCAGGGCCTGCCCCTGAACAACGAGTACGAGCTCATACCGTTCAGTCACTTTACCCTCGCGCGTCTGTACCCCGTCGAGCTGGGCTTGGGCAAGCGGGTCGTCGAGAAGCCGATCGGCTTCAAGCGCAAGGACTTTAACGAGGCCGTGCTCAAGGCCATCGAGACGCTCAACAGAAACGCCACGGGACTCGCCCCTACCTCAAACACCTTGTCGCCTTCGTCCTCGAGGTACACGGAGGACGACTTTCTCGAGGGTCTGTACAGGGTGGAGCCGACCACCGGCACCCAGTACGAGATGTACTTCAGGACGAAGAACCTCAACAAGAGCAGCGCCGTCCAAACGGGCCAGTACGGCAGCGGCATGGGTCCCCAGGTGAGAGATGCATGTATACCCGTTGCAACGCGAGAGCTACAACAGCCTGTTTCCTGGGTATTCGCAGCAGAGCAGCTACACAAAGATAACGCTGATGCGGCCGTACGCGCCCCTTCAGTACGTGGGAACGGAGCGCCAGCAGCAGCAGCCCAACCGCGAGAAGGAGCTCGTGCACGTGATACTGCCCCTATCGGGGAGGACGGGCACCTTCCAGTCGTTCATGGACAAGTTCGTCAAGATAGCGCTGAGGAACGATAGGAGGGTCCACTTGACGGTCGTGTACTTTGGCACGGAGGGCCTCAGCGAGGCGAGGGCCATCATGTCGAGGGTGCTCATGACCCGGGGTAGCGGTGGCACCAATCAGAATCTCAGGCTGCTCGCCCTCAACGAGACCTTCTCGAGGGGCAAGGGGCTGAGGGTCGGCGCCGAGAGGGCCTGGAACGCGGGCGAGAAGGACGTCCTGCTGTTCATGTGCGACGTCGACATTGTCTTCAGCGCGAGGTTCCTCGACAGGTACACACGAGTTGTCCTATATACTCTATACACCCGGCACAATTAACATCTATTTCATTCGCGCGAATACATTTGTAAACAAGGATATTACATCAACTATAGGCGGAACTTTATTTGTTATCTCTAACGATACATCCTGACATGTACCAACCGTTCACACGCATAACACTTTCTACCGCCACGATTCGTTTTTTTTTTTTTTTTTTTATTAGGTAGTAGCACTTTGTGTTAATTCACAAGACGGTATGACAAGATGTTTGCGTGTGTCCTCAGGTGTCGGTGGAACACAGCTCCGGGGCGGAAAGTGTACTACCCGATCGTCTTCAGTCTGTACAACCCGCACGTCGTTTACACCCTGCAGGGAAGGGAAGTGCCCGCGGAAACGGATCAGCTCGTCATCTCGAGGGACACCGGCTTCTGGCGGGATTTTGGTTACGGGATGACTTGCCAGTACAGGTGAGATTCACTCAACGGGCGTGACGTACAAACAACCACTAATGGCTGTTTGCCCGACAACGACGTCTCAGACGAGTCGCTGTGCTGTTTGCTTGTACGCACACTTGACTCTCCCGGCAGCCTCCACTTTGAGTGATCGACGACTGCAGTGCTTGCGCACCTCTCTCTCTCTCTCTCCGTTATACAATCGGAGTCAATGATAAGCGTCATTTGCACTGCTTTACGAGAGAGAGAGAGAGAGAGAGAGAGGCAGCCCTGTACTTTTTCGATGTTTAATTTAAGAAATTTTTCCGAAGGAGGAACAGCGTGGGTGAGGCTGGAAAATAAGGTTCCCGGCGCTTTTTCTTCTTCGAGTAGTTGATACATATGATTATATAGGTAAGTATATGTTTCGTCCGACGCGTTTAGGTCCGATTTCCTGCGGGTGCGGGGCTTCGACGAGAACATCGTCGGCTGGGGAGGTGAGGACGTCACCCTCTACCGCAAATACGTCAAGAGCAACATCAAGGTCATCCGCGCCACCGACCCGGGTATTTTCCACATCTGGCATCCCAAGGTACGTTTTGGAAAAGCCTGGGTGTTATCCGATCTCTTTGGAGGCGAAACAAAAAAAAAAAAAAATAGAGGGTACGATAAAACAACGATAACCATTAGGGTCCCGAGGAGCCTGGCCTTCCGCGAGTACGGAAGTTGGGAGTTTCCGCGGCTGAATTTCGTGTTTAGTTTTATTATTATTTCCCCGTCCGAGGGAGCGCCTGGCACGATGTCAGACGCCGCGGGGGAGTGGGACCTGTGTGCATGTGTCCTTATTTTCGAGGTATAAGCCTACTTTATCGCGCGTGAGTTCTCGGCGACATCGCGTTTCTGGGTTATATTGCGCCGGGCACGAAGACCTCCTATCCGGCTCCGCTTCTTTTATGTGCTCGGATTTCCATGTTTAATGAGGCACTGCCGAATTCGCGGATGTCAACCCTTTTTCTGGCTTTTGTGCTTTGCTTACGTGCAGCGCACGTGCACACAGGGGTATGTCTGACGCGTGATTTTTGAGGGGCACCTTTTACGTGATGCACACTTTGGTTACTTGTACACAATTCACGACTAATTATACATGAAAGCACGCGTACCGTGAATCACAATTACATTTTACGCGTGCTACAATAAATTCGCCTAATTATCAATAATTACTCGACCAAATAAAATTTCGTACAGCAACCCCCTCAAGGTGGAACTTTATTCCCAGATTCCCGAACCGTATATACGAAAAATCAGAAATTTCCAGTCGATTTACCGCCAACGGATATTAATAGTTACAGCTCGATCGCAAAATTTTCAATCAACCTTCCCAAAGACAGTGCAGCTTCAAAACGCACTGCTTTTATTTGGTCGAATGAAATGAAAAAAAAAAAAAAAAAAAAAGAGAGAGAGAAGCACAGGAAGCAATTTTCCAATACTTTGCAATTTTTCCCGTCATAAAAACGCTTCGTGCAGACGCCACGCGTCACTGGCAAGGATTTTAATTAACGCGACGAAATTGCGCGATATCGACACACGGAGAAGGGAGGGAAGGGGCGAAATGACGTTCGAGTCGACACGCGCGCGATGCGATGACTCGGAAAATGGCTGAGCACGCGTTGGTTATACGGTACCATTGTAATGCGCGCATACGAACATTTTTGCCCGACCTAAATCTGTCCCTCTCGCTCCATCTCGCGACGCGAGTACTGGCACTTGATTTTCGCTCGTTATTGGATGTAACTCCACAGCTATTGTGTATAGCTGACGGGCGTCGCGAGGGATACCATATACGGACCGAGGGCTAATCTCCCGCATTGCGGGTACACACACACACACACACATTCCCGATGACGGAAGTGCTTTTTCATTGCCCCTCGCTTCACCTTTAATGGGCTTTAATTCAAACGCTGGATCACGCTGGGCACTTGAAAATAAATACCCCTCCCCTGTAGCGGAGCAGCGATGGAAGTGCTTTTCACGAATCGAGTCCTTTGAGCAAAAATAAAAATAATTAAGAAGCAGTTTCGTGTTAATTTTGGATGAACCACCGTTCAAATTACGTGTAACTGCACCAACGAGTATGAAGCAGCGCGAGAGCAACTTGTCAACCGCGAGCTCGAGAAAAATCAAAAGCTATACGCGCATCAGTCTCTCGGAAAACTTGACGCGATCGCGCGCTCACTGGGGAGAGGAGGGGTGGATGGAGTGTCAGCCAATTAACGCGACGCTACGGAAGCCCCGTCACGTATTTCCAAGTATAATGCGATTGGCCGAAAGTTCTTAAGACGTCCGGAGATCGAGTTAAGGTGTCGCTGGGGGGGGGGGGGAAGAAGCGAGAGACTGTGCTGCAGTGTATCGGAAGGAGGGGTGCCTGTGGCGATCGATCGGTAATTGAGTTTTTTGTAGTTCTATACGGTATGGGGTCTGGGAGCATACGGAGCTCGAAAATAATCACCCTCTGGTCCGAAAATTCTGCTCGAGAATGTGCGTGCAGCGTCTCTGGCCCCCTCCCACGAGAATGTACCGGAAACGGTGGCTCGATAGGTGCCCTTTGGAGTACAGTTGCATAGTTTGCCGGTATCTCGAAGACTCCGTGAAATTTATCCTCTTCTTCTCGGCTGGTAACCACTAAGCAAGACGCAGCAGTTAATAATCGAAGCACTCCGAACCACCCGGAATTTGCCTGCGCCCGGAGACGCACCAAGTTTCGAGAAAGCAGGGCTAAAGTTATCGGTGCACGAGGGGAGTTCTTTTTCCTGAAAAACGCAAAGCTCATTCACCTAAGCCTTCCCTGTTGGTCAAGTATGCACAGCTGGTAATTAAAACGTACGTCTGGTCCGAGGATATTGAATGCAGGAACGCGAAAAATCATTCTCGTGTGTTTGCTCGAGTAACCAAGTTATATCAGGGGCAGGGGCTGGCTTATGAGCTTCGAGATGTACAGCGCAAGTGAAGAGCAAAAAAAAAAAGGTTGAAAGGCACTGGGCAATTATCTACCCTTTTGCGCGTATACCCCGCAAATACATGTACTAATCCTCGTGGATGAGCCTCGAGAGAGGGGAATCGGGGTACAGCAAAGGTTCGGCCCTTGCCAGGCTCGTGTGCTCCGTTCGCTCGAACTTTCAAAGCGTGCACGCACAGTCGGAAAGGAGGAGGGGGCGAGCCAGGGCAAATATTACCGACACGCACCGTAAACACGGACTCGTCTCCACCCCTTCATCCGGCTCCGCATGTCGGTCGATCCCTTTACCCCCACCCCCTTCCGCTCCTTCGTTTCGCTCTATTTGCCCTCCTCTCGAGGCCCTCCCCGCGCTCCTCATCCCGTTTATAATTCAACAAGTTTTTTTTTCTCCCCTCGCATTTGAACCACACGATAATTTTAATGATCCGCGTCGAGTGGGAATACGTGGGTATGCTCTAGGGAGAAGCCCCCAGATTAAATGTTATTCTTTGTTGTTGTTTTTTTTTTCTCACCGGTTTCGAGTTGTTTAATCACAGGCAAAACCACCCCCGATTCTGATTCGCAGGTGTGCTCGGGTGGTCCCGGCCAGCGGCTGTCGGCCGACCAGTACAGAGCGTGCATCAGGTCGCGGGCGCTGAACGAGGCGTCGCACGCCCAATTGGGCTTCCTTGCCTTCCGCGAGGACATAGCCAGCCAAGCGGGTGCCAAGGGCTCCTCGGCGGCGAGCAAGAAGAAGAGGCCCGCCCTCAAGCGCCCCAAACCGACCAAGCCCGCGGTGGCTCGGACCATCAAGGGGCGCACCTGATCGGCGCATCTCGTCCACGTGCCTACATGTGAATAATGTACATACACGATCATACCTATTATATATATATATAACACGCAGCGGTGTATGGGTACACTCCTGCGCGACTAGTATGAAAATAATATTATACGTACTTACCTACGCGGTGTTTATGGCTCGGCGTTTTTTTTTTTTTTTTTTTTTTTTTTTTGTTTTTTTGGAGCCTGTGACAAAAAAAATGGTGCGTGCATATTTAAGTGACAATGTGTTTAAGGTAGATAGATCCTAATATAATTATTGCCGAGCTACTGTGGACTGTTGGTTGTTCGATAAATCGGTTGAGCTGCCAATTTGCGTTCTTTTTTAGAGAATTGGTAAGCCACATGTATAGCCGCGACAACGAATATTCGGCAAACGCACAAGAGCGTTTTTTTTTTTTTTTCTCATCAGTTGTGTTTGTGCGAAATACACATACCGTGATGCGCGTAAATTTTGTTTTTTCATTTGTATTTCGATTGTTGAGTGTTGCTATTGATACTGATGGAAGAAATGCATCAGGAGGACGATTTTTGTTATCAGATGTATTTATTTATGTTGCTGTTGATTATCGAGTAGATGATGATTATTATCGTTTTTAGTGAAAATTATTAAGTCGTTGGGCGAAGGAGAAAATAAAACCAAAAAATCCAAAGTGTTATACTTTGGACGATACTGCAAGAATTTGTGATCATTTTCCTCTCTACCGAGGGGTATTATATTTGTATAGAAAATTCCTAGCTAAAATTTATCGTAATATTTATGCACGTTAAAGATAAAAAAAAAAAAAAACTTAAGAAAAGTGGAAAAATGTGTATGGCATCGATCTAACGATCTAGGTCAATTAGAATAATAAAAGATAAAGACGGAGAAGCCCTCGCGTACACTATTTACGAGGTAATCATTCCATCGTGTGTCCAATTATCAAGATATCATGTACAGACCAAAGATCACATACACATCGGTATTATACACAAATAACTAAATAAAAAAAAATAAAAATATTATAGAACTTTTCGATCGAGCTTCGGCAGAGGCTACGTTATTATTTAATCTCGATTAAAAAAATGGCACGAGTTAAGAGGCAAACTGTACCATGTACAACAAAGAGGATTAAAAAACACTTTGTATCCGTTTCTTTTTGACGGTGTTGGATTTAACTGTGCTGATTTAAACTTTGTGAGACTTTTACAAAATCGATAACCAAAAAAAAAAAAAAGGATAATAAGCTTTCGTAAATGATAAGTGCCGTTTTGACGACCAATTTTCACCAAAGGAAACAATTTTCAAGCCCGTAAAAATGTTGACGCTTCATGCAAGCCACGACTGACATTCCTTTGTCATTGAAATTCCGCGTTACTTCCAAATCGAAAAATATGCCCTTTGCATTTCAACGAAAGAGAAAAAGCTCGAGAGAGAAAGAGAGGAGAAAAAAGGAGAAGAAAACTCGAATAACAGAATCTCGCGCCTTGCCCCATCTTTGAGAGGGCTTGTATTATGGTGAAAGCACCACCACCCGACCTCGTTCGACGGGGCGTATGGTGTAGAAAAGGGAGAGCCGAGCGTTATGAAAATGCTTCCCTCGTTCGCGACTCGATACCTGTACCACCATATAACCCGCCGAGAGGGTGGAAAATTGCATTTTTGCTCCCGACGAGTTCCCTTGCAAGTTCGAGGATAAAAGAGAACCACCTGTCCATTACGTACACGCGCGTGCAAGGTTCGAGGGTATGAGAAACAATCGACTACACCGGGGGCAAATGTTGCTGTAAAGTATAGCGTACGCGTTTTCTATAGGAAAATTTCGTATCGAACAATTTTTTCGGTGCTCTTTTTTCTTCTCTATCTCCCTCTTTATACATCAACAGGGCGCGCGAGCTGTTAGTTTTAGCCAACGTATAAATCAGCAACGAGACGTTTTTAAAAATTTTTGTACTTAAACACGGGATGCTGCGGGTCCACGGAAAAATACATCGTTTTTTTACCACACGTGATGCAAGAAGCGTTTTTCGAGTTCCCTTTTCGTCCAATTTTCCGGCGGACACCGCAACAGCGTTTGTACATTAGACGTTTTTGTTATTTCTACATCAAATGAAAGAGTTTACGAGATTGTTACGTGTGTTCACTATAATTTGTATGCGTAGGGTCAAGTGCCAATGAAATAATAAAACCGACGAAAGCAATGAGTCTACCAGCGTTTGTATTATAAAGAAGAAAAAGAAAAAAAAAAGAAAAAGAAAACAAAACTGTAAACAAGTTATGCTTAATAAAAATACACGAGTATAACGTAAAATTGCGCTTGGTTGTTTTTTTTCTTCTGTTTTTCACCCTCGCAGTGTTTTTCCCATTAATCTTCCCGTTGAAATTCACGCTTTAATACCCGAGCCACGTTAATCCTCGAGTCTCTAATGAGAATATCCATTAAAAAATCGATACTTTTCAGCAAATGTTTCACGCCTCGCCCATCAATCACCAGATTGTTCAACAAGAAAACCGGAAGAGAGAGAAGAACAAGAATGTCACGAGTGCCATCCCAGGTGGTATTAAGTGCTTTCATCCATCTCCATTCATTATTTTTCATCACCACGCTGCACTCCTCTATACCTGCATTACGCTTTTCTCCTCCACTCCCTCCCCCCTTTTTGATTTACACAGCTCGCGCGAGTGTTTACCTGATGGGAAATCTCGTTTGTCCCCAAAATGAGACATAATCGCTTCATGGTTTTTCTTCCCTTTTTCTATAAAATACTTTTATTCCCCTCCTACAGTCCTCATCGGTGCCTGGAACGTGCTCAAACGAACATGAAGGGGAAAACCTGTCATTGCAGTGAACAAACGAGCCAATTTTAATTAGCAAACTTAACGATCCCACTAAAAAGGGTCTCGATTCGACCGAGCTCTGATTGCTTGGCCTCCGGTCTTTTTTTCACAGCAGAGCACGTAACGATAACGCCAACCAATGACCACGAGAATGATAGAGAAGGGCCAAGGATCTCCCGAAAGCCAAGTCGCATGAGTTATCAGGTTAATTATGGAACTGCAGCTCAGCAAAGTGCCATTCGGCGTGCCAGTCCGACGGGGGTGGGCGAGTAATGACGGTCCATTTTCTCGGGAGGTGCAAGAAAACGGCCCTGCTAATGCGTAAGGAGGTTCGGCAGTTTGTTAAACTTGGCGCATTTCAAATACTTTGGCGAAAACGGGGGTGCATAGAGGTGCGGGCTCTATACGTATGTATATATATATATGCCTCGATGCGACGAGCTCCGCTGTAGATTAATCGTCGACACGAAGGGACGTCTCGGACTTTAATTACTTTTCCCGGTGTGGTATGGAGTGCTTACAGCTTCGTTCGCTTGTTACGCCATGTGTACTTTATCATCTGAACGGGGGGAACAGGCTAACCGTGTTGGCGAAAGGGCGCGTCTGACTATTCATTGACTTTTCTACTGAAAATTTGGTGTCACTGTAGTTTCTCGGGATATTGTTTCGCGAAAAAACTCTTCATCGAAAAGTAGACATATCTCGTGATGGGACGCACATGTAATACATAATTCTATTATATACACAAACTCTTGCGAAAGAGGCATCTCGACTTTCGGGGGCTTAGTGTAACTGGAGAACCTTTGCGGGAAAGGGCGGTTTTTGGCTCAGTGACACATAAGAACTGAAACAAGCGGAGAGAAGAAAGAAACAAGTGCTGCAGGAAAAAGAAAAACCTGCTACTTTCCCCCTTTCCGCCTGTATATACACTTCTACAGGCTCTCCCTCGAGTACGTGCTCGCATGAATTACAATCTGACGAGACGGCTATTTCCTCCTTGCCCTTTTTTTTTTTCACACAACTCAAATATACCATTGACATTCAACACGTTGGAGCTAACTCGTGAAAACGCCAATTTATATTACTACGCTGCACAATATCCCAATTCAGGAAAAACTCAGTTGCAAGTCACCGGCTGTGTAATCAGAGTGGATGCACCCCAGCTTATGCCATCGATCGACTCCTTCTCGGTCCCGTATACCCCCTGCTTCCAGAACCATGGGAAATTGGGACTAATTTATCGCGCCGCACGACGACGGAGGGGGGGGGGGGAGGGACGGATTAGGGATCAAGGGGAGACAGCGAGCGGCACCGGGTTCCGCATTTACATTAATTATTCCGAGATTCCCGAAAGCGGAGGCGAAGGGCGGGAGGGATTTACAGGGGCTTACGAGGCGCAAGCAGCCGGTCTCGAGACAGTTGCAGCTCTGCATTTTTAGTTTGGAAAGGGGATGTTAATCCGGCTGATAATTACTTAAGAGCTGTTTTTTCGTAGATAAGGGCGTTGGCTTACGGTTCGGGAGGTGGAAGGGGTGCTTCGGACTCGATGTCACAACAACTTTCACGGCGAACGAGGCACGGAGAGGGACGTCGAAAGGTCAGGGAACCCCCGGAATTCTGATTAAACATCGTACATTTCTTTATTTTTTATTTTCCGATGTTTCATATCGCATTGCACTGAGTAAAAAAACATTCGCTCGCTAGTTGTGTTCCATCCACCCCCGATTTCCATTCCAACGAATATTTGTCCAACCGAGTAAAACACACACGAGCGATATCGCACTCCAGTACAAATTAATATTGGCAATGCACCTTTTTTTCTTTTTCCTTCTTTTCCTTTTTTCTTCACCCTCCCGTTCGTTGTTTCGCAAAAGAAAATTCGTGACTAATAGCTAAAAAGTTCACGGCCCTTCCTCTCTAGGGGGGGATTTGCGCGTACATGGTACCTGAAAATGGACGTCGTAGTGGCATAAAAGCGCAAGGAGAGAAAGCTCTCGGGCAGAGGGGTTGGTTGGCTCCCAGGAAGCTAAAATTCTGGGCATGGGTGTGTAGGTATTAAAAAAAAAAAAAAAAAACGCGAGCTCGACGGTGGTGCTTAATTGTGTTTCGATTCGCGTAATTTAATAACACACATGGGGCCAACAAGTGAGTGCACCGGCAATTGTTTTCCCTCTGGCAAAGAGAACCGTACTCCCCAT